GTCTGTTTTGGACAGATGCCTGGGCCTAGCCACAGAGAGTCCAATTGCTACAGGACTGAGCTAGGTAGGTCACAGAATCCACGTTTCTTAAAGCGCGCCTGTCTGGTGATTCTGAACATAACCAGGTTTTGTAGCCACCAAGTTAAATCATATCATAGAGCTTTAAGTGAAACCATATTATAAGTCCCTTAAGTGAAACTATATTACAGATTGCCTTAAATGAAAGAAACATTTTAGCGTAAGTTATTTCATATTTAGGATTATTTGAAAAGATAGAGGAACCAAGATGGCGGCATAGGTTAATGTTGGAGATTGCTGCCTCAAACAACCAATTCAAATTACACCTAAAAGACTGAACGGACATCATCCAGAACCACAGGAAGGCTGGCTGAGTGGAAATTCTACAACTAGGAGGAAAGAGAATATCATACCCAGACTCAGAGGAGGCGCAGTGCTGAAGTGAAATACTCAGGTGCGGAGTGCGCGCGAGCGGGCTGGCAGTTGTTTTCAATCGGGAGGGAGTTTCAGACTTTGAGCTCCAGATCCGGGCGAGTCTCTAGGGACCCAGACTCAAACGGGAGAAGTGGGACTGTCTGGCTTTGGTCGGAACTCGAAGGCAGCTTTCTCTCCGAGGTTTGCAGCGGTTGCTGGGACTCTGTGAGGCAGAGCCCCTAGGGACGGAACTGAGAGCAGCCATAACTGCTCGCTCAGCTCGCCCTGTTTGATCCTGTGCGACCTGCCCCGCCCAAGCCCTGCACAGAGCCATTTGCCAGATAGCCTCAGGCAAAGGCTAGATTAGCACCTCCCCAGAGGACAGAAGTTTTCCCACTGCAGACACAGCTGACTCTCACAGCCAGTTGGTCTGGAGGTCAAATCCCCCCAGTATTAACTACAACAATCAAGGCTTAACTACAACAAGACTTCGCACAAAGACCACTAGGGGGTGCACCAAGAAAGCATAAAAAAAATGCGGAGACAAAGAAACAGGACAAAATTGTCAATGGAAGATATAGAGTTCAGAACCACACTTTTAAGGTCTCTCAAGAACTGTCTAGAAGCTGCCGATAAACTTAATGAGATCTACAAGAAATCTAATGAGACCCTCGATGTTATGATAAAGAACCAACTAGAAATTAAGCATACACTGACTGAAATAAAGAATACTATACAGACTCCCAACAGCAGACCAGAGGAGCGCAAGAATCAAGTCAAAGATTTGAAATGCAAAGAAGCAAAAAACACCCAACCGGAAAAGCAAAATGAAAAAAGAATCCAAAAATACGAAGATAGTGTAAGGAGCCTCTGGGACAGCTTCAAGCGTACCAACATCAGAATTATAGGGGTACCAGAAGATGAGAGAGGGCAAGATATTGAAAACCTATTTGAAGAAATAATGACAGAAAACTTCCCCCACCTGGTGAAAGAAATAGACTTACAGGTCCAGGAAGCGCAGAGAACCCCAAACAAAAGGAATCCAAAGAGGACGACATCAAGACACATCATTATTAAAATGCCAAGAGCAAAAGACAAAGAGAAAATCCTAAAAGCAGCAAGAGAAAGAAACTCAGTTACCTACAAGGGAATACCCATACGACTGTCAGCTGATTTCTCAACAGAAACTTTGCAGGCCAGAAGGGAATGGCAAGAAATATTCAAAGTGATGAATACCAAGAACCTACAACCAAGATTACTTTATCCAGCAAAGCTATCATTCAGAACTGAAGGTCAGATAAAGAGCTTCACAGATAAGGAAAAGCTAAAGGAGTTCATCACCACCAAACCAGGATTATATGAAATGCTGAAAGACATCCTTTAAGAAGAGGAAGAAGAAGAAAAAGGTAAAGATACAAATTATGAACAACAAACATGCATCTATCAACAAGTGAATCTAAGAATCAAGTGAACAAATAATCTGGTGATCATAATAGAATCAGGGACATAGAAAGGGAGTGGACTGACTATTCTTGGCGGGGGGAAAGGGGTGTGGGAGATGCGGGAATAGACTGGACAAAAATCGTGCACCTATGGATGAGGACAGTGGGTGGGGAGTGAGGGCGGAGGGTGGGGCGGGAACTGGGAGGAGAGGAGTTATGGGGGGGGGGGAAGAGGAACAAATGTAATAATCTGAACAATAAAGATTTAATTAAAATTTAAAAAAAGAAAAGATAACAAAGTGGTGCTAAATTTCAGAATTAGAGAAATCTCAACTTGTTCTAGCAGGAATTTTTATACAGCATACTGGGTTTCTTTTCATTTTCTTTCTCCTGGTGTCTGAATAAAGAATGTTACCATTCTGCAGCTGGCCCTGTAGTGACTTAGAAGTCACCTCATCACATTTTGGGAAAACTATGTATGTAGAATCTATGCCTATCTATTTTTAGGTAGAAAGTCCACTTTTTCTTTTTAAATAGTCATATATTCTTTTTCTGAACTTAGTAGTAAATACATGCCTTTGCCATATTAAGCCTTCTTTGCATGGTTCCTTATGAATCTGTCTTATTCTCTTCATCCCTAGTGGAACTATATCTCAGTTGTCTTTATATTTCTGAAGTCCTAGCACAGTAACTTATTAAAATAAATATTTGATGAATAAATGAATATGAGATTGAAGTTAGAAGTGACACATTAAACTAATTGTTACCTCTCTGATCTCTCTATTATTCTTTAAGCATCATCTTTCATTTCTCGGGCAAATAGTGAGTATAATGATATGTAGCATTATTAAAAAATAAAATGATGCTCTGAGATTTATAGAAGCTCATAAAGTGTCAAATCCAGAGCAATTCATTTTTTTCCCAACAATTCCCCATAAATCCAGGCCACGGAATCAGTATGCTGATCTTGCCACATCCAGGTCTCTTCCTTCCCAGCTGGGCTCCTGGGGCCTCCTCCTCGCTTGGCAAACACTAACTCTCGCTCACTGGATGCAGGTCTGAAAGAGGTAGTAAGAGCCTAGCACCTGGTCTACCCCAAGCTTTCAACTGTAGAGTGTTTGGAGGTGCCCTGTGGTGCTCTGGTAGATACTGTCAGGATTAACCTTGAGTGCACTAGACATCTTCCTAGTACCATAGCGTCATTCATTTACTGGCCACCAGACACTGTGAGCCTATGTGATGGAGTATGGCATTAATTTAGAAACCATCCCTGACATCAAAATGTTCATGATCCAGTTGGAGAACAAAATAAATATAGATGATAAATGTTATGATGGAAGAAGTGTACTCTGCAGAGCACATAGAAGGAGCCATTGACTAAGAACTGAGAATCAGGAAAGGCTTCCTGCAGGAAGTGGCATCTGAGCTATGAGGTGAAGGGTGAATCTGCACTGTCTGGCTGCAGTGGTGAGCGGGCCCTGATTCTGGTGAAGGAACAGCAGAAGGTGGGGGGAGGCAGGGAGCATTTCGGGGACTGCGTGTGCTTCCATGTGGTTGGAGGACAGGAGCCAGATGAGAAAAGAGCCTTTATTCCATATAAGTGAGTTTGAACTAGATAATTCTTGAAATGATGGGATCCATCAAAGACTTTGGGGCAGAATATGCAATATTGAGAGATTAGCCAAAGAAGCATGCAGTTGGAAATCCCCTACACTCTATCTTTTTAGCAAATTGCACCCGGCACCAGAGAAAAACTTGCCATAGCTACAGATGATCACTTATGAATCCAGAATGAATGTTAAGACCCTAACAAGCTAAATGAGAAGATACTCAAAGTTCATGAAACTATCCATGCATCTGCATGTTGGGGGTGGCATAAACTTGGTTGTGTTCATAGGTAAGGGGCTTGTTATTCAATAATATTTTTACGAAAAGAGGACCCTGACAATCTTGGTCTGTCAAAGACCAAGGTCACCTTATTCAAGTGACATAAAAGCCACTTGACTGGGCTGAAAGTGTTTTCCCAAAACCGATTTCAGAGTTTCTTCCCTAATGGCTTCTGTGAATTTAGGCTGAAGTGCTCTAATGGTACATTAGGGAAGGGCCGTAAAATCTGAGAGTGGAGGACCAGGGTAGTAGGCACAGCATTGCTGTTCTCTGATTGAGGGGCACTGCTTACAATATTTGTTTCAGCAGAATTTTGAAAACTCTATACGCTATTCCTCTAAGTCAGTGGTTCTCAACCTGTGGGTCGTGACCCCTTTGGCGGTCGAAAGACCCTTTCACAGGTGTTGCCTAAGACCATCCTGCATATCCGATATTGACATTATGATTCATAACAGTAGCAACATTACAGTTATGAAGTAGCAACGAAAAAAATTTTATGGTTGGGTCACAGCATGAGGAACTGTATTTAAAGGGCCAGAAGGTTGAGAACCACTGCTCTAAGTAGTTATCATGAAACTACTTCCTTTACTGGAAGAGGGTGGGTTTTGTTCCCTTCTAGGGATTTAAGGATCTCACCAAAGCACAGAAGACTGGTCCAGATCTTTTAATCAACCACCTTCACCCCTGGAATAATATTTATTAAGTAACTAGAGAATTATAGCATCATCCTAAGGTAAATTCTAATCTCTGCGTGTTTAAAATAAACTCGCATTATAGACCTTTTTTGTTTCTTATTATATAGAGTCTTTACATTCATCCCAGATTTACACAGATGAAAATTAGTGTAAATGATAATTAGTACTACTACCTTCTGACAATTTTAATGCCCCGTATGACCCTATGGAGCAATACTTACATGCTTAGATATCATATGCTATAGAAATTAAGAGTCTGAGCTTTGGAATGAGAGAGACCCAGGCTCAGAGCCCAGTTCCTCCATTTCCTATCTCTGACCCTGGGCTAAATTACTTAACTTCTTTAAGCCTTGGCTTTCTGATCTAGAAATTGGGGGTGTTCATGGTCATTGTCTCATAGATTCACTGTGAGAATTTAATAAGATTGTGAGTAATGAGGGACCAGTACATAATTTCAACCCTACTTAGCATTCTTGAGCACTTTCTCCTTTAGTTATGTTTGTTTTATTGTAAGCAACTTTCTCTTTTCTTTTTACTCCCCTAGGGATATGAAGCCTGACAATATTTTGCTTGATGAACATGGTAAGTGAATGATTTGTTTGCAACCAACTAGACTTGTATATAGAACAATAATGATTATCCTCAGCTAAGGAGTATTACACGTAGAAAAGGTGTCTTGCTTGATTGACTTGAATTACATGTACAAACTCCATTTTATTTTATTTCTTTTTAATCCTCACCCAAGGATATATTTTTTAATGCTATTAGAGAGAGGGAGAGAGGGAGAGGGAGAGAGGGAGAGAGAGGGAGAGAGGGAGGGAGGGAGAGAGAGAGAGAGAGAGAGAGAGAGAGAGAGAGAGAGAGAGAGAGAGAGACAGACAGACAGGCATTGATGTGAGAGGGAAATATCTATCGGTTGCCTCACACACATACATGCCCCCAGTAGGAATGGAACCTGCGAGTCTTTGGTGCACAGGATGACGCTTCAACCAACTGAGCCGCACTGTCCTGGGTACACACTCCATTTTGTAAGTGGGAGGGATAACCTGAAGAAACTTTAGTATTTCCAGCAGTGGGGTAGTACCCCAATATACCCTACATAACACTGAATTCACATAATGAGAAAGTAACTCTCTATTCCATGTCCTTCCACTCCAACTCATTTCTTCAAGGAAACCATTACAGTATTTGCTGCTGGTTTGCCTTACTGTCTTTATGACCATCATCCCCTTTTTTTAATAAAGATGAACAGGCCTCAAACTTAGAGCATTAGGCAGGCAATGGTATTTCCCTATAAATCTGGAACACTATTTTGTTGGCATGGCACCCACTTTTATGCTTTCCTTCTTAGAAGGGCAAATTGGTTTTACATTTGCAGAGGAGATATCAAGTTTTCTGTTCAAAAATCAACCAGGGTTCTGGCCAGGTATCTCAGTCAGTTAGAGCCTCATCCCAATACACCAAGGTTGCAGGTTCAATCCCTGGTGAGCGTACATACAAGAATCAACCAATGAGTGCATAAATAAGTGGAACAATAAAAATAGATGTTTCTCTCTCTCTCTCTCTCTCTCTCTCTCTCTCTCTCTCTCTCTCTCTCTCTCTCTCTCTCTTCCCGTCCTTCCCCCTCTCGGAAAAAAAAAATCAGTCACTTTAAAGAGAAATATAAAGTAGATGACAGTATATGTGGTACCCAGAGAGAAACATGATATAGAGATATGGGAAGAACCATGAAGATGAAAAAATGAATGCCAGAAGTTCAAAAAACACTGATTAAAGGTACCCTGTAGAACAAGCTTTTGCCGACAATGATTAAATGTGTCTATTCTCTTTCTAATATTTATTTGAATGCACATTTGGATTTATTGGTCCATCAGAGCAGACTATAAGTTATCAATGTTACAGTGGCAATAAGATCCTGGTTCTTTTCACAAAGCTGCTAGATGAGTCATGAATCTGCAAAGCTCCTTACTCATGTGACTTTAACAGAAAGGACTTGCAAGTGGGACTGAAACTCCAAGTACCATCCATTGCTCACTATTTATTTATTTCTTTTTTTACATTTTGTTTTATTGCTTAAAGTATTACAAAGAGTGCTCATTATTTATTTACCTAGTTGCATCTGAACCTGATTTGCCAGACCCCACCTGTTCTCAGAGAGCTAAGAAACACTTGTGCTATGACCTCAAATTTCCAGGCTCGGGGTCATTATTTATTTACAGACTGTCTGAAAAGATTTTCCACTTCCAACGCCTTATTTCTTCCTTCCCTTCACTGCTTCTGACATTTGGGAACAGATTCTCTGGATTTCAGAAATGTGAGCAATGGGGAGACTTAGCATGAAGGTGACTTGTGTTAACACACCAGCTCTCCCTGGTGCACATAAACTCTACGGAGTTCACGGTTATGGAGAGGGCCTCCCCTAACCTATAGAGGCCACCTTTGCACAATTTAGAAAAAGGTGCTTCATCTGCCCACCACAGTCTCATGAAAGTGCATGGCTGGCTGGTCAAGCAGAACCCAGGTTGGGGTTCTGTTCCCACCTGTCCCGGTTGTCCTTGTTTACAATATATTGCTCTACCATTCGTTGAGGCTCTGAATGGAGACATACAGGTGCTGTCAACCAAAACTTGTTCAAGATTTACCTTCCATTTCAGAGAACAGTGTTTTAATATGAGATCTCAAACATGGTTTCATCCTAATTTTACCATGAGGTCGTTCTGTCCTCTCGCATTCAACACCTTTCACCCCCTCATGGTTTCTTGCCAACTTGGTGGTTGTAGGTTGGGAGAAAGGTCCAGAAATAAATGAATCTCTAAGTTTAAGCACCCTTAGAGACTATCTTTATGAAAGATTAATTGTGGATTCTGGAACCAGATTGCTGAAGTTCCAAACCAAAGAAGATGTGATACATATATACAATGGAATACTACTGAGTCCTAAGGAAAGATGAAATACTGTCACTTGTGCCAACATGGATGGATCTTGAGAATATCATGCTAAGCAAAATAAGTCAGATGGGAAAAGTCAAGAACCGTATGATTTCACTCATATGTGGGATATAAAACTGAAAGCAACAAACAAACAAGACAAAAAACACACACAAATTCATAGACACAGACAACCATATGTTGGTTACCAGAGGGAAAGGGAGGGTAGTTGGGGGGGGGGGGGGTAGAAGAGGGTAAAGAGGGCCAAATATATGGTGACGGAAGGAGACTTGACTTTGGGTGGTTAACACACAATGAAATATATAGATGATGTATTATAGCATTGTACACTTGAAACCTATATCATTTTATTCATCGATGTCACCCTGATAAATTTAATAAAATAACAACAATTCACCCACTCACTTGCACAGAGAGGGTCAACAGGTTGCCTAAACTTTCTTTGCTACCTTAGTTTCTCCAGGGATAAAAAGATATATATTTATTTCTTAGGCTCATTGTAAAAACAGACTGACATACCATTTATAAAGTGCTTGATTGCAATATCTACCAGAAGGAAATCACTCGATAAAGGTTAAATGTTAGTATGACTCCATGAGGTAGCAGGGGCTTTCTCCCCTAGGAAGGAAATGTCGACTACTTCATCTTATTTTATGTTGCTGTATCTCTGTCAGATGGTCAGTGAACACTGGGCACTTACCTGTCTTTACTAAAGAATTATTTTTATTCCAGAAGGGATATACCCAAGAGGCCATGTGTCTATTTGTTAGGTCTTGTGCGGGGGTGGGGGGGGTCTACTTTTTTAAAAATTAATTTCAGAGGGGAAGGGAGAGGGAGAGAGAGATAGAAACATCAATGATGAGAGAGAATCATTGACCCTGCACACCCGCACTGGGGATCGAGCTCTCAACATGGGCATGTGTCCTTGACTGGAATCAAACCTGGGACCCTTCAGTCTGCAGGCTGATGCTCTATCCATTGAGCCAAACCAGCTGAGGCTAGATCTTATATTTAAACAATACTGTTGAACCCTAATTCTCAGGTAACTACACTGTCAATGGCCCATCCTGCTTTCCTTCGTGTATGCAGGGAGCTAAACCCACTTTTCAGGTAAGTATTCAGTGTTCACTGACTATCCGATACAGAGACATAGCAACATAAAAAAGATGAAGTAAATTTCCTTCCCCAGGGCATCGTATTCTTGGCAGGGCAGCGTTCAGTTGCTTAGGGACATCCCAGTCATCCCAGTCAGCCTCGGGGACGGTCCCAACTACACCTGTTATCTAGTATATATTTACAATGACCCCTTTTCTCTTTCAAGGTTTTGGGTTTGGATAATAAATTAATATAGGGATTTCTGTATTATATTTCATTCTGAACTCCATTTGAGAATCTTTGCAGTTAATAACAGAAATATTGCTTAAGGATTAGATATGTAAATGGATAAAAGCAAACAATATTGAGTGCTCTTCTCTAAACATTGTTTTGGGATCCCTTTCTGGGGAATATTTTTAAGGTTATTTACATTGTATTTATTCAGATTCTGAAAAACTAAGGCTTTCAGGCATTTCCCAGGGACTATAATTAACCACTTTTAAATAAACCAATTCCTAGTAATCCCCCACCCTTCACTCAGCATGTAGAGTTGCTCTTGGGAGAACCAACTGAACTACAAATCAATGTCTGCCTTTTGGAGGGTCTTCTGGTATGATTTTCCATGTTTCATTTATCCTGTCTGTCCACATGTACATTTTTCCCCAGACAGGCCATCACATGCACCTCTTACCCGGGGATTTTAGCAACTGGGAAGGAAATTGCCTATTTCTGATCTGCCTCCTATGCCCCTTCCTCTAAGTGAGCTGTGTATGATACCGCATCGCTTATATATATTCATTCAGCACCAAGCAGAAACGTTATTTTATTCTCACTGATTCATCTTGGTTTATAATCATCAGAAAAGATTGATATTTAAAGGAGCAAAATCCTTTCATAAAGTGGAAAATCTTTCCATGGTGTGAATAAACATTCCCTGCACATCAGAATTTGCCTTTAAATATGTTTTAATTTAGAGGATACCAGCTGCTGTTCTTCCCCAATGTCTCACTCACTGGTTCAGAGCCCGAGAGGGCATTAGACATTGGATGGCCTCTAACCAGTTGTCCTGATATATATTTTTTCATATCCTGCCAATTTAAGCACCCCATCCAATTTCATCAATTTCCTAGTGTCTACAATTCTTGTGCTTTTAAGTTATTTGGGAAATAAATGCTGTGTCGGGAAGAACAATACTGTCTGCCTGGTATATCCGACAAAATAAAATTATGGCATCATCTATAATGTAGGTTTCTTAATATCATCCTAGTCCTGGGCAACAGTGAAAGGCAAAAACTTAGTCTGTGGGTGTGAAAAAGAACTAGGCTTGCTATCTTAATAGCTCCTCCCTTGAAGATCCCCCAAATGTGCTTAAAATCAAGTGGACATCATACACACACACACACACACACACACACACACACACACACACCACATACACACACACACACACACACACCACACACCACACCCCCACACACACACACCACACACCACACACACACACACCACACACCACACCCCCACACACACACACACCACACACACACACCACACCACACACACACCACACACCACACACACACACCACACACACACACACCACACACCACACCCCCCCACACACACACACCACACACCACACCACACCCCCACACACACACACCACACACACACACCACACACACACACCACACCACACCACACACACACCACACACACACACACACACACACACACCACACACACACCACACACACACACCACACACACACACCACACACACACCACACACCACACACACACACCACACACACACCACACACACACCACACACCACACACACACACACACCACACACACACACCACACACACACCACACACACACCACACACACACACACCACACACACACACCACACACCACACCCCCACACACACACACCACACACCACACACACACACACCACACACCACACCCCCCCACACACACACACCACACACACACACCACACCACACCACACACACACCACACACCACACACACACACCACACACACACACCCCACACACACACCACACACCCCACACACACACACACACACACACCACACACACACACACCACACACACACACCCACACACACACACCCACACACACACACACACACACACACACACACACACACCACACACCACACACACACACACACACACACACACACACCACACACACACACACACACCACACACACACCACACACACACCACACACCACACACACACCACACACACACACCACACACCACACACACACACACACCACACACACCACACACACACACACACCACACACACACCACACACCACACACACACACCACACACACACCACACACACACTACACACCACACACACACACCACACACCACACACCACACACACACCACACACCACACACACACCACACACCACACACCACACACACACCACACACACACACACACCACACACCACACACACACCACACACCACACACACACCACACACCACACACACACACACCACACACACCACACACACACACACACAGTACTTTATGTAACTCTGGAGTTTCCGATCATGACAAACAACAACAGTTGAACACTTCCTACCAAATGCTGAGCTGTCTCCCACAGTCATGATTTCATTTGATCTTCCCAACAACCTCATGGGAAGACTATTATTACCATCCCACCTTCACAGAGAGATCAGCCACCTTGCTAAGATAACACAGCCTGTTAGTGATAGAACCTGGACTTAAAGCCAAATAGTCTGACCCCAGAGAACAGGCTCTCAGCCACAGCGTCTCAAACCTTGTGAACCACTGATGCGGTGCCCTGAGCATGGCCCCTAGGGAAACAGAGAGAACAAACTGAGACCACCTACACTATGACAGGGTGAGCTGTCGAAGTCACCACTAGTACCGCTCATGCCAGAAAACCTTACTTGTAGCTGGATGAGTGCTACTTTGTCTTACAATGGAATCACATAAGCAAACGCAAACACTGTGGGCATAAAACAAACCTTGGCCATAAAGGCAGTGACATTTATCTTTAGCAGCAGGCTGGATGCCATCAAAGAGTAGATAGTCAAGTTTGACAGGAGGCGTATGGACTGAGAGACCTGGATGAAGAGTCAGATGGCATCCCCTCCAATTACAGCCACAGCTCATTGGAACCATGGAAGCACGGAAATGGAAATGCCAACACCTCCAGATCCTCTGACAGCCTATGACTTTCATGCCAACAGCTAACATAACGAGCTTATCTGCCCGAGCTCCTGGGGCTGCCCCTTTCTTCCTTCTCACTGTCAGTGCAAAGACTCCAATGCACTTCACAGATGTGCTCCCTGCTGGATTTAAGTGTTAGACCCTCACAGCAACGGCACGAATGTGAGAGCTGAGAGAGACCCAGGCGATCAGCTAGTCCACCCACTCCATTCTTTATGAAGGGAAACTCAGGTTCAATACAGGAATGGGACTTAAAGTCACAATGTGTTAGGGGCAGAGGTCAAGGTAGGACGCAAGTCTCCTGGGTCCCAGTCTAAAAGTCTTTCTACAACCTCTTTGTAAATAAAGCTTAACTGTTTCCCCTGCTTCCCCGTGGTGAGTTATTTTGTTGAACACCATTAGGGGGCATTCTGACTTAACAGACAAAAAGAAAAAAAAAACAACAACAACAACTACTAATGTTGTTTAAAAAAAAAAAAAAAAAACAAGGATGAAAAGGGGTTCTTTCCTAGCAAAGAAATAGATATACTAAGTCCTATGTCATCAGGAGATTCTTGGAAACTGTGACTTTAAGCAAAATGATGTATAAGGAACCCAGTTTTCCCATCGGCTAATTGACATCAAGAAGAGTTAAGTTCCTATAGCAAGTTCTGGCCACAAAAGCATCACCAAGCCTAACCGGTTTGGCTCAGTGGACAGAGCATCAGCCTGGGGACTGAAAGGTCCCAAGTTCAATTCCGGTCAAGGGCATGTACCTTGGTTGTGGGCACATCCCAGTAGGAGGTGTGCAGGACGCAGCTGATCAATGTTTCTCTCTCGTTGATTTTTCTAACTCTCTATCCCTCCCCCTCTCCCTTCCTCCCTGTAAAAAAATCAATAAAATATATATTTTTTTAAAAGCATCACCAAATTTTTAAATAAAGACCCAAACACTTGTAATATTAAACACTGAAGTAAAGGTGAGCTATATATATATATAAAAGATGAATAAAAATAAGAGAATGACTTTTCAACACACTTATTTCAGTTTAGGGACCTGAGTGGCCAGAACCTGTCCAGGCAGCTCAAGGACAAGGTGGGGACCAACCCTGTACAGGACGCCCCTCCATCACAGGGCCACTCTCACACACACACACACTCTCATGCTGGGACAATGTAGACATACCAATTCACCTCATGTGCACATCTTTGGGATGCAGACATGGGGAGAGCATGCAAACTCCACACTGGGAATCAATCTTATAACAAAACAACCTTGAACAAAGCAGCCCTATTCAAAGACCTGCTGGATTTCCATTCATATGTGCTTTATAGTAACAATGTTTCTCTCTTAAAAAAGATCCCATAAGAGACCATTGGCAATTTGATATTTTGCATAGCTCTTGGTTCCCTGTTGATACTCACAGGTTAAACCAACTTAAAATGTTGTGAACACAAATTGCCCAAGTAGAATTATGAGAGCATGCGCTCGTACCCTCCCCTTCTTCCCCCAAGTTAACACTTTCTGAAGCTGAACTGCAGACTTACAGTCAGATACTCATCTTTGGGGACCATGTTCTGGCTCCCAGTTTGCTAGAGGGTTTGCTGATTGAAGAACATACTGATTTGAGGACAGAATGATTGAGCTTTTACTGCTGGTACCCAAAGCACAGAAGAATTTACAGATGAAGCTTCCAGTTAGAAGCATGGGTGTGCCACTGGGTTGAATGGACCTAACGTTCTCTGTGGTCCTTCTCTCCCTCCAGGGCACGTGCACATCACGGACTTCAACATCGCCGCCATGCTGCCCAGGGAGTCGCAGATCACCACCATGGCTGGCACCAAGCCTTACATGGGTATGGGCTTCGGGGGCAGCTGTCTGGACTCAGAGCAAGGCATTTGTTTTCCATTCCTGTAGAGACCATTTATTACGCCCCCATCACCTGTAGGGACTTGCAGCTGGAAATGACAAGCCCCCCTCCCGACTACCTGGGGAGCTTCTGATTTCATGGGTCTCGGGTGAGCCTCGGGGTTCTCCATTTAGGAAGCACCCCATCGGAGGTTGATTCAGGAGGGCCACTTATCACCTTTGGAAAACACTATTTTACAGAGTTATTTAGGATGGCATCTGCCCACTCCCTAATGAAGAATATCAATTCAGTAAATGCCTACTAATTGCCTCTGGGTCAGCGGTTCTCAACCTGTGGGTCGCAACCCCTTTGGGGGTCGAATGACCCTTTCACAGGGGTCGCCTAAGACCATCGGAAAACACATATATAATTACATATTGTTTTTGTGATTAATCACTAAGCTTTCATTATGTTCCATTTGTAACCATGAAATGGGGGGTCACCACAACACGAGGAACTGTATTAAAGGGTCGCGGCATTCGGAAGGTTGAGAACCACTGCTCTGGGTGCGTGGTGCTGTATCAGGAGCTGGGGACCCTGGAGTGAGCAACACAGACCAAGTCTCCAGCCCATGGAGCTTACTTTCTGGTGGGAGGAGTTTAAACATAGAAGCAATCAGAGAAGCAGACGCAGACATAAGTAGGATGCTAATAAGTGATGAGTGTTATTATAACCACTATTTACATGATACAGCATTACATGCAGGGGGCTGTAAAGTTTAGAGTGCCTTACAGTTATAATTTTTATTTTTACTTTATCACAATACCATGAGTTCTCCTTTTTAAAAGATGAAGAACTTGGTTTTACCTGAATATTTAAAATTTACCCAGAGTGAACAGATGAGAAAAAAATTAAAACAACATGCTTTTACCCTAATTAGTTGTGATGATTACAGTGGATGATGTCACTGGTTAAACTGGTGGCATTAAATTAAGTCGGGGGTGGAATGAATTGTACTGGCTAGAGGTGGTCGGAGGAATTCACAGGCCAGATATCTGTATGTGAAATCAAGGGCAAGGACAATGCCACTTTCTTTTCATATTTCATTCTTTTCCTCATGCAACTGAAGAGAGAAAGGGAGAGAGAACCCCCACGTGCAGGACTGCATCACTTTCTAAGAGAAAGAAATCTATGGCGGGAAATGAGCTTCATTTTACCCGATATTTGAACAACCGCAAATGTTCTGGCTTCCAATTATCAGTGGAGGGAATAAATCTATTTTGTCATTTCTGAAGTCATGGACACATATAATTCAGCCTATTTTCTGCCTAAAACCCATGGTACTCAAATGATTTAAAGGACTATCCATGCCTGCTGGTCTGATGAGTTTAATTCTGCAGGTTACCTGGGTTTCCTTCCATATCAAGGACTATTTTCTTGGAGCCAAACCAGACAATGTGCATCTGGGGTTTCTAGGCCTAGTTGCCATGGTGAGAGGAGGAAAGGGAGGCCACCTTTATTTTCTCTCCCCAGTAATTTTCAATACAAGATCCATATAATTTAATTCTCCTTAAAATTGGCATGTCTAGTCTTTTCACCACATGGAGCTTAGAAATTGGAATCTGGACAAGGTTCTCTGTGCCTCTCCATCTTCACACTCGTAATTAACAATTACTAATATTTACGGAAAGCCTTCTGTGGGCCAGATGATGTGCTAAATGTTTTGCATTCATTTACTCATTCACTTTTTTTCCTCAACAATCGTATACGACAGGTTATAATTATCCGCATTTTACAATGAGGAAAACAAGAAGCTAAGTGATTTGCCCAAGATCACGTGGCTAGTAATTGAAAATGGCCTAGATTAAATCAAGCTCTGTCTGACTTTAGACAATCAAGTTTCTTCCTGAAAGAGAAAAATTGTTAATGTTATTTGTGGTTCTTAAATGGTTGTAAGCCAATTTAAGTAGGCCAAACTGTTAGAATGGCTTCTTGTTTCTCTGTCCAGAAGTTGCCCTTGGCTTTGATTTTTGGATGGGAGTCTCTCTTAAGAAGTATTATGGGTGGAAATCATCTTTCTTTACAAAAATAACTTGTTACCAAAACTTGGCAAAATCTACCTCTAACCCTCACCAGCACTCATTTTGTAGCACTCCTATAGGATACTAATTAGCAATTAACCAGAAAAAATATATCTGAAAAGAAAAAAAACTTGGATTCAATACTGAATGAAGATTATAGGAGTATACAACAGCTATTAATATGAGATGCAGAGCATATAATGAAGCAATTCCTTGGCTCTGGAAATGAGAAGATAAGCAGTCTGCCAGTTCTTAACCACTTTTCACTCATAATCTTCTAAGTCCATGCTTTCTCCCATCACTCCAATCTTTCCTTCTCCCTACTCCTAGGTCTGGGCAACTATAATCCAGGTCACTTAGAGCTTAAATTAAAACATTCTCCCCTCCAAAAACAAACAGACAAATTCACTATGGAAACCCTGTACCTTGCAGATAAGCAGAGTGGACATTAATCCCTCTGCTTACAGACACGTATGGTTTCCTTCCAGATCTTCTGTCTATGTGCACGCAAAGACATCCCTTTTTACAGTCGGATTATACTGAATTTCTGTAGCCTAAATTTTCACTGTATAATGTAATCACAATAATAACAGGCATCATAAACTGAGCATTTATTATGGCCCATGCAGTTTGCTAAGTTTTTAACATTTTGTGTCATTAAATTCTCAAAGCAACCCTATAGAATAGGTTTCACCATTATTCTGATTTCACAGATTTACAAAAAAAAAAAAAAAAAATCAGGCCTAGAGAGAAACTGACCTGGTCATAATCACACAGCAAGGACTGGTGGAGCACCAGGTTAAACCCAAGTCTAAATACGTCTCGAACATTGATGGCAATGGAGGTGTAATGGCTCACAGTTACTGAGCTCTTCCTACATGACCAACATTGCTCTAAGTATGTGTATCATGTCATTTAAACTAAATGAGGCAGGTACTGCTGTTGTTCCCACTTGAGACTTGCAGACTGAGAAGTTAAGCTCTGCCCAAGAGGAGGTATAGCTACAGCCCTCAGGGTCTGACATCAGAATCTACTCTCCGGTTGGTTTAAAATCTGAAAAACAAAGGATGGAAATCCAAATAGCTAATGAACACATTAAAATATGGCCAAGCTCATTAGTAATCAGGAGAATGTCCATCTCAACCACAATGAAAGATAATTAGGCACTCACAAGATCGGCAAAACTCAAAAGCTTAGTTAATACCAAGTGTGGATAAGGAGCTTGACTAAAGGAAGCCTTATGCCTTGCGGGTCATCGTGTTAATTGGCACAACCACTTTGGTAAGGAGTTCCATGTGATGTGGTGCATGTGAAGACACACACTCCGTGCCCAGCAGCTCTCCTTGCAGGAATGGAATGTACTTACAGAAATCTTCCATGTGCAGGAGAGTCATGAAAGGGTTGTTCACAATGCTCCCAAATTGAAAATAATCCAAATAGTTATCAACTATAGAATAGGCAGGTAAATTACTGTATGCGAGCAAACTGTGAGCAAACTGAAGCCATGTGCAGCAATTTTGATAACATGTAATCTTGAGCAAGTAAAGCAAGACACCAAAGAAAGCAAGGAGTGGGATTTAACATATATGAGATGTATATACACACCTACATATATGTTATGTACACATACATGCTATATATACACACACATATACTTATGTTATATAGACAGGGGAGGGCAAAAGTATGTTTATAGTTATAATACAAATAAATAATGCAATAATTAATAAGTAATAATACAAGAATAAGCTCTTGTGTTTAGTGTACTCGCAACTGTAGACCTACTTTTGCCCACACTTGTATGTGTGTGTGTGTGTGTGTGTGTATGTAACATATAGTCAAAACTGAAGTATTGCTTAGAAATGCATGTAAAGGTAGTAAATCTATGTAAAAAGGGATCAAAATTACTAACATAAATCCAAGAAAGTGGTTACTTCCAGGGTTGCCAACAGGACAGGAATGAAGGTGGGGTCAATATTCTATTTTGTGACCTGTGTAATGGTCCCCTGGCTATTTTCTTTTAACTACTTGTTAAGTTGCTCTTTTATGTTTTAATTCCTTTTCTGAATGTAGGTTGAAATACTTTAAAAACCAAACAAAGCACCCAGTGCCTGTTTGAGGGAAGTTGTGTCCCTCTCCACCTCTGTGTGTACCCTCTCGGGGACAGGGGATCCTCTGGCAGGGTTGACAAGAGCCCCTCGTTATCTCTTTGTCTGGCTTTTCAGCTCTTTGAGGGCTCAAAGCCTTGCCCATCCATTGTGCTTTTACATGTTGGCCTGATGTGTTTTTCTTCATGTTCTACCAAAATTCTTCAATGCCTAGCACACCGTGAATATTTGTTGAATAAATGAACACATATCCAAATGTCCTCATGCTGGAAAACAGAATAAGCAGAAAAAAAAATGCTCATATAAACTCCAAGGATGATCCAAGATGACAGGATTCACAGCTTTTATCGAGTAATGCCATTCTGATGGGTATTTTCTTAGCACGATGGTCTATTTATCCCTCAAAGTCCTCTGCAGCTTCTCTAAGGGAGATGTCAGTCACCCTGGGGACTATCTGAGATGACTTGTTGTGAGATACTGAGAAAGGAAAGCAGAACTATAGGCCATTCCATCCAGTCTGGGGGGTACCATGGGGTCAGGGCCATTACCTCCCAAATCGCACAGGGACTGTGACTTATAGAAAGGATGCAGTGATGCATGAACCGTGAATCCCGTGGGAAGGAGGCCTGCGCAGTCCTGCTATGGCGGGCTCGTGCAGTCAGGCTCAGTCCTGGGAGGTCAGCATTCTACCTCTAAGTGCATGCTGCCCATAAGATTGTACTCAGAACTGCGGGCACTGGGCAGGGCAAGTCAGGCCCACAACCCAACAATATTTTTTGTCCAGACTCAGCAGCTCACTACAGAGAAGGGTCCAGTGTGTGTAGCTCTTGGTTAGGTAAAATTCCCAGTATTATAAAATGTTTGCCTCTCTAAAAGAGTGCCTAATTTTTTTAAAAATCCTCACTGTAGGATATGTTTATTGATTTTAGAGAGAGGGAAGGGATGAGAGGGGAGGTTTTTGGAGGGAGGGGGAGAGAGAGAGAGAAGAGAGAAACATGGATATGAGAGAGAAACATCAATCTGTCGCTTCCCTTATGAGCCTAACTTGGGATCAAACCCACAACCTAGGTGTGTGCCCTGACTGGTAATCAAACCCACAGCCTTTTGGTGTATGAGATGATGCTCCAAGCAATTGAGCCACCCGGCCAGGGCAAGAAGAGCACTTAATTTTGTGAGCACTTTCTAGGTGCCAAACACTGAGCTGAGATTTGGGCATGCACTACATCGTTTAATTTCTCACCTCCAGAAAGATTGCCCTCTTATTCTGACTTGGCTGGTGAGGATTCTCAAGCTCAGCCAACAGACAATAAGCAATGAAGGCAAGTTTTGAACTCAGCACAACTCCAGGGCTAATAATTGCAACCATTGCTTGATTAATTGATCCAGCAGCATTCACTCATTCAATGTGTCTTGAGTGACTTTAAATGCCAGGCTCAATACTGGGCACTAGGAATGTAGTGGTGAGCAAGCAGATGAGATACCTTCCTTTGCTTTGTGTTCCATTCTCTCTACTCCACCCCTTAGGAGTTAGAGCTATTCTTGGAACAGTATGTAGAATGTAGAAGGTTCACCTTGTGTCAAAGTGCTTAGAGAATGGGCACTGGGGCCTTAGAATAAACTGTAGCTCTGCCTTGCACTGCAGTCCATTCACAGAGCGATGTTACAAAGTGTAAGTGGCTCACATTTTATATAAAACATTATATCTCTCAGACTGTCCACTCCCTCTTCCCTCCCTCCTTCACCCCCAAGAGCAAGGTGCAAATGCTGCCCTTGCCTCTTCAAGATGACGGAGATGGAGAGCCAACACATTGCAGCCCTTTAGTCCAAACCTGCCAAGTCAAGACAACACACGTCATCTCCGCCTTCTTGGTTTCAGGGGCAGCCACACATTTGAGGCCTGATGGGATCTAATTTTTCTTACTTGCATGTTCTAAATAAGAGAAGAATGTGTCCACGAAGGCCTGAGGCTCCCTGTTGTGTTGGTTGATGAATGAGGCTCCTGAGAGAGACCAGAAAATTAGAAATGCTGCCTGCTGTGAGCAATCAAGCCATGGATGAGAGACATCTGTACAAGCTCATCTCCCTTCTACCCTGGTGTCTCACCTTTGGGGGGCCCCGTTGGGAAAGTGGATTTGTGAGTGTCTCGGGGAGTAGAACAGACCTAACTTTCCTGTGTTTTCAGCACCCGAGATGTTCAGCTCGAGGAGAGAAGCCGGCTATTCCTTTGCTGTGGACTGGTGGTCCCTGGGAGTGACAGCCTACGAGCTTCTGAGAGGCCGGGTACAGTAGAACTGCATTTCTTTGCCCTCTTCCAGCTATTTCCATTTTTAGATGGAAAAGATGGATTTTTGTGTGCGATAAAAACCCAGCAGTTTGTTTGAGAGGTGAAAATGGCTATGCCATGTGAAGCTGTCAGCAACCCTTGGGGTTTCTGTATTCATTCATTCTCCCGTCTATGGGGACCGAGCATGGGGGTTCACCTCAAAGCATGGGTGGTGGGCACACGGTGCAATATACAGATCTTGTAACATAGACCAATGTCACCCCATCTGTTTAATAAATAAAAACATGAAAATAAAGAAATCAATGAACAATGTTGAGATTATAAACTCCCAGGGAGGAGAAATCCATATGACCCACTAAATGTCTTGTACAAATATGTTTGTTTTGTTTAAAGAAAAGCATTTTGCAGTCACGGTACAAAAGTCTAATGCAGACACACTTCCCCAAGGTGAGTGTGAATTATTAATTCAACACGATTCATGCCCTGTCTTGTTGGATTCCTGTCTGTCATTCAGTTCCTAGGTTCTGGGTTCAGTGGCAAATTACAGTAGCTTCCTTCTAAAAGAAATATTTCTTAAACTAAGAAAAGGCCTATGAAGAATTTTTCTAAGAAAATATTTTTTTCTTCCTCCCATATGTTATTTTTTACCTCAATGGTAGTTCCCTGTTATCTATCTGATGTATCAGTATTGTCAGGTTCTTTTTTCTGCTTTAGAAAGGTGAAGAAAAGTTATTATTAGGTTGCTGTATATATATATATACACACATATATATGAGAAAGAGACGTTTAAGTTCTACTCTCTAAGCATATTTCAATGTTATACAATGTACAGTGTATTCTTGTATTTTATTATTGTATTATTTTCCATAAGAACAACTGTAAACCTACTTTTGCCCAACCCTGTATGTCTATACACACCTGCATCCATTCTTCTGTTGATAGACACTTAGGTAGTTTCCATATCTTGGCTTTTGTGAATATGCTGCAGTGAACGCAGGGGTGCAGTTTATTTTTTCTAAGCACAGGTGTGACCTTCAACGAGAAAAAACGCTGCTGCTTCCAAAGCTTCACATAGTCACACACATTCACACTCACACACACACATGCACACACTCACACACACATTCACACTCACACACACACTCACACACACATACACCCACACACACCCTTCACAGGACTTACCCCACCCAACAAACACAAACAACCTTCAGATGTCTTCTCCTGGCTTGGCATTCTCTGCCCCATGGAACCAGGTTAACTTTTCAGATTTTGCTTCAACTTGAAAGACCCCAGCTCTTGATAAATTCACTTTGGCCTCTTTGGATGTCCTCCTCTCTGAGGCATCTTGGGCTTTTTTATTCCTTCCTTTCTTCCTTCCTTCCTTTCCTCCCTCCCTCCCTCCCTCCTTCCTTCCTTTCCTTCCTTTCCTTCCTTCCTTCCTTCCTTCCTTCCTTCCTTCCTTCCTTCCTTCCTTCCTTCCTTCCTTCACCTCATGTTCCTTTGCCTATAAAGATATTTGCCAAGGTAAACCCTGGCCTTCTTAAAGAATCACTCTCACAGTACTGGGAATTGCTAAATTGAATTTGAATAAAGTGAAGGATGTGTCTTAATTGCAGGACCATTCAGCATCTTTGTATTCAATGTATATTGGTTGTTTCTGAGAAAGCCATGTCATTAGACTGTCCCACATGTCTCTGTGGGGAAGGCCTTCCTCCAGGTCTTTCTTATTCAAATCCTACCCATTCTCGGCCCCTTCTCCAGAGAAGCATTCTCTGGTCTCCAGCTGAAGTGATCTGTGTCTCTCCCAAATATTTATGCACTTCACTTCTCTTATAACCTGAATTTAAAATTATTGGAAAATATAGAGAAGCAGAAAAGTAAAGGTAAAATCAACCATATCCACTAAGGCAAAGAATATTCCCAATTAAAAATTCAACCCTCCTTTGACCTTCCAGTCCCACCTTTCAGAATTAACAGTCACCGTACTCAATTCCAAACCTTTTCTGTTTTTATAAGGTTAATCTGTTTTCACATACACATAGATACATGATTGTTGTTGTTTTAACAAAAGTAAAATATGATTTGTCTTTCTGTTGAGACTTTTTTCCACTTAAGATAAAATGTAGCACTTTCTACATCGAAACATATAAATCCACTTTATTTTTTAGGATTAAATCCATTTTGTAAATATGTTGCCCTTATAAATTTTTCCAGGTATGTCTATGTTGATGTTTGTCTCTCTTCTATATTATGAGATGGTAAATTCATTAAAGATGAAGCATGCATCCTACATACTTTAGTGGTAACTCTAACTCAGTACCTATGTGTGTAGTGAATGGCTGGGGGAACGAGTCTCCACAGATCAATTCATACATTCCCGGGAAGGATCACCAAGCAGGCTGCATGGAATTATGTTTCCAAATAGAGCTAATCAGAAGCAATGAAACACCGCATTTAATAATGACTATCAACACGACTCACCCACAGAGAGAGTGTGCCAAACAATCATGTCTCCACATTTACAAATGTACTTGAAAACATCCCCATGGTTTCTGAGCTTGATCACAGCTTTGATGAACGGGTCCCACAGCTACTGACCTGCATTGTCTCCCAGCTGTCATTGCCAAGGCAAAGCCCATAGCTTTCCCAGTTTTGTATTTTCCCTAAGCATTAGCTTCATAGGGACGTACGGAGTTTTGCACTAAGTGTACATTCCTAGTTACAATTCTTGCTGTGTACTCTGGAAATATTATATAATCATAAAACATCACTTTCTCCCATTTACATTTTTACCTTTTCCACTTTCGTCCATTCTTTATATTCTCACTCTTAATATGCTGCCTTAGAATTGTTTGATGCATCTTATCATGTACACTGTAATTTTTCTTTATAGCATGAATTACATTTACTGAAGCATGTGTGTACAGTCTGTATAACTATTTGTGGTTTCGCTAGGGAGATGTTAAGCTCCACCAACATAGAAATTATATCTGTCTCATTGTTATTCTTCATCCACAATGCCCAATAGAGGTGCTGGAATATACTAGGCATTCAATAAATATTTGGTAAATGAGGAAATATATAATTCTAGTAGTTAATGAATTAACATGGATTTTTAAATTTAGAACTAGAAAAATGTCATAGAAGAGAAAGGCAGTTTGATTATTTTTAACAAGTTGATAGGCCATGAGGATTTTTTTAAAAACTATTAAAAATCAGTTGTACGGCCTTCCAATAAATGAAAACACTCTTAAGCCAGTTGCTTGGGGCATTCATCAGTTAATTATTCACTTATCAAATCATTTGTAATTTTAGATGGCTAAGAAACAGTAGGTTGAGAAGCAGCAATGAGTCAAAGAAGGAAATTAGAAAAAATATTGATGCTGCACACATATGTAACCCTGGACCCTACCATGCCAAACATGCCCTGACTCTTAATGGTATACACAGAATAAATCCCAGTAGAGACCCACAGTGCCCTTCACCTAGTCAGCAGTCAGTAAACATTGATAATAGTGATAAGGTGCCTAGTATTCATCTTCTGATATTGGGTTGCATGGGTTATTTCCATTATATGGTTATTGAGACCAAAATTAGCATTGGTCCTTTATTGCATCTTGAGGGAAGAAAACATGGGACAGGTGTGTTTAGACCTTGCCTATAAAAATAACGGTGGGCCAGTCATCTTTTTGGGAGGTCAACTCCTAGCACTTCGTGGTTCCCTGAGAATGGACATCGGCATGCCGTGTGCGTTAAGCCTTTCTCCATCTGTAGGATGAGTCACTGTTCACATTATATCCACCTTTTGACCCCACGTCAGTAATCACAAAATATTTCTCCTATATCGTGTCTAATATATACTAGCCACTCTATTGAGAACTTTACATGCATTATGCCATTCAATTTCCCCAACAATCTCATGAGGTGGTTCCTTTTACAGATGAAAGAATTGAAATCCAAATTGAGTGGCTCCATTTAGTCCTCACTTTCTTTTGCCTTCAGAGCTCAAACACTTATTATATTACCTTTTAATACTGAGCTACAACAGGGAAAAATAAACTCCTCCATTTCTTCCAATTTGGTTCATCAGTCCACAAGTACTTACTAAGTATCTCGAAAGGGCAGACCCTTGATACATGTGCATATCCATTTTAGCTGTCCTGCTAATGGATAGACCAACATGGAAATTTTGAGCATTCAACAGGCATGTAATAAGCACCTACTAGGGTGCTAGGACCCCTGGGGAAAATGTGAGTATAGTATAAACCCCTGGGGTTTAGTAGCTCCCGGTTCACATAAAAGAGAAAATGCCAGCATGGATTCCTTTATGAAATAGAATTACTATAGGTAAAGGCTGCCCTCGTGTGGACATTTATGAAAACTGTAATAAAACCACTTTTTTTTTTTTTTTTACCCCACCGAAGTTAAAACTATAGAAGAACCTGGTTTTCTCAGGAGTAAAAGTATTTTTGCCTCATCATAAAACCTGCCACCCCACTTCATAGAACCAGGGACGCATGACTTTTGGGACAGGGTTGAAGTCTTCTGGATAACTTTCTATTCTGAACGTATTCATTATGATTCAAACAATTGAAGAGAGGTGTACGGTAAACTCTGGATCTCTAGAATCAAACTAAATAACAAGAGTTTAAAATTTCAACTTACTGAGTTTTATGAAAGATGTACAGTGTTTTATAAAAATTCCTCTCTAAGTTACCTTATAAAACTATCCCAAATTAGTATCTCAGAGGTGGATTTAGCCCACAGAAATGTTTTGTTTGACCCAGAATGATTACCAACTTTTAAAAATTCTGAGATTTCAAAACCGCAACACAGGATGGACCATATGTGTATATGCCAACAGGGCAACAGCTAGAGGGGATAAGAAAATGATACTGAGATTTTCCTGGTTGAAAGTGTGATTTTTCACACTTTTACCCTGTACACATGAAGACGTTTCCTTCCTCTCTCCCTTAAGAGACCGTATCATATTCGCTCCAGTACGTCCAGCAAGGAAATTGCACACATGTTTGAGACGGCTATTGTGCCTTACCCTTCTGCCTGGTCACCGGAAATGGTGTCACTTCTTAGAAAGGTAAGAAGGAGGAGGATTGCATGACAAAAAGAAACACTAAAACAGCAGCAGGCGCTCTGGTTAGAGTTAGTACACAGCATGCATTTCCAGCGTGGGCGTTGCAGCCAACAGCTTTCAGACGCATGGCTTCATGAGGCAATGCACATGTCCTCCTGTATGTGCCAAAGCCACCCCACACTCAGCGTGCCCGAAATGGGGTCTCGGTCTCTCTGTATTTCCTGGACTTTCTCCAAGCTTCCCAACTCAGTGACTGGCCTCTCCATCCAATCACTTCTGCAAGCCAGAAACCGGAAATCATTCATCACCCCCATATCCAATCCATCACCAAGTTCTATAATTTGACCTTTTAAGTATTCTTTGAATCTGTCGTTTCCCTTCATCTCCATGACTGTCTTCCCAACCCTACGGCCGTCAAGTCTTATCATTGGTTTGCCCTGTGCACTTCTACACACTCCATTCTGTTCTCCATTCTGTCCCATAATGATCTGTTCAAAGCACATTTTGTTGTCTTCCCATTGTTCTTAGAATGAAGATCAAAATAATTTGTATGATGTAAAAGTTCTAACTACCTCTCAAGCCTTATTTTGGACTTTTGCCCCCATTACACATAAACCGCTTTAGTCTTTTTCTCTTCTGTTTCCCCGCCCCCATCTCACTCTCACATATCCGTCTCTCACCACAGGCCCTTTGCACATGCTAGAGTCCCACTGTCCCCTCCCCAACTCTTCCAGCTCCCTCCCTTAGACCAGGACCATTCAGTGTGATTCACTGATTAGTTCAAGTCCATGAATTGTTTCTTCAGGTTCATGACAAGTACAGAAATTGAAAGAAACATTCAGAAATATTTGTAGCAATTTGATATTGCTACTGCCTCTCAGCACATGGCCAGTGGGTTCATCTCATTTGTAGCAGGAGCTCAATAGTATGTGTCCAATGATAGTGTGTGAAGAATATGGACCCCAAGAGGATGGGTGGGCTTCATTCAGGAAAGAAAATTGCACAGGTGATGGCAGGTCAAGGAAAAGGGCCTAAGAGTCAAACCTGTGTCTCTTGCCTTTGGGGTCAGTCCATTTGTTTTGGAATAGGGACATTGCCATTGGTTATGGTAAAGATGAACAGGGAAGTCATTTCCCATAAGCAAATTTTCTCCAGTTTCAAGACAGCCTCTTCACCCCAGATTTCTCCCCTGGCGATCCCAGGTTATCCCCTCCAGAACAATTCTCAGGTGGAATTGCCACTTTCCATTAGAACCACAGGGTTGATGTGGCGTTGTTGGCTCTGGAGTGGTTAAGGGGGGAAAAATCTTTAACCCCAGTTTATAAAACCCAGAACTATAACAGTTACCTTAGTTACATCTTCTCTGTGTCACCCCCAATATATTTTGGTTAGTTGTAAAAACAGCTAAAATTTTTAGTGGGAAATGAGTTTCATTTGTGAAAATGTGCGCACATTCCTCCACTAATGAGAGGTATAAGGTAAACTACACTAATGAGAACAGACCTTCTCTTAAGCACTGTATATACATGGCCTCATTTCATCCTAGCTTCAACCTTATGAAATAGGTTACTATCCCCTTTTAATAGATGGGTAAACTGAGATTTAGAGGATAAACTTGCCCATAGTTAATAAAATAGGGGAATCAACCATCAAAGACACATTTGACTCCACAGTTGAAGCTGTTTTTACACTCCACCTTGCAAAAAAAACCCAATAACAACCTACAATTCATTCTAACTGGGCCTTATCTGTATTATTTGTTTATGGGGTCGGGGAAGGGGGATGATGCCTTATTTCCTTCAATCCTACACTTGAAAACATTTAGAGGGAATTTGTGTGGGGTTTTTTGGCCCCATTTTGACCTTCCTCGTGATCTTAATGTTTCTGTTCCTTTGGCAGCTACTTGAACCTAATCCAGACCAACGGTTTTCTCACTTGTCTGACCTTCAGAACTTCCCATATATGAGTGATGTGAACTGGGATGCGGTTTTACAGAAGAGGCTCATTCCAGGTTTCATTCCTAACGTGAGTCAATCCTAACAATCCCATAATAACGCACATGCAGTGCATGTCGCCCTGTGTGCCAGAGACGCGCCTGGTCTGGTTAGATAACCACAGCAGTGCTGTGAGACAGCCCACATTCCCACTTTACAGATGAGAACACTGAGGCACACCCAGGTAACTTGGCCACCGAAGTGTCCCGTGGCTACCAAGTAGCCGAGTGGGAATTCCAATCCAGCTCTATCTGTGTCTGGAGTTCCAGCTCTAACCACTTGTTGTGGCATGCTTTTTTTTTTTCCAAAGAAGATCTAATCCTCCTAATACACAGTCCTCACTTAACGTCATAAATAGGCTCTGTGACTTTAAGAGAAGTGGCATAGAATGAAAACAGTTTTACCATTGGCTGGCTGATATAAACAAGGCTTAAGTTCCTACACGTCTCCTCAACGTTATATGGAAACAAAACCTCAAAGACCTGCTGTTGTCCTTTCCAGGAATCTGCCAATTGAAAAAATGATGCTTTCTCTGATTCCAAAGATGTAGGAATTTGTGTGCCTGGGGTTCTGTGAGTCAAAGTGTTGAAACCTGGCAGGGTTGGGGTGAGGCATTTCTTTTTACCATTCATCCCTCCTATATCCGTAATGACTAAGAGCCAAAGGGAAATCTTTCCCACTGGATGAGTCCCTGGCCAGGGGACATCTGTGGCCGACTGCAGACCGCTGGTAAGAGCCGGAATCCAGGTCAGAGTGCTCAGTGAGACGGCCTGTGCTGGAATTCTGGGGGTGGAGAATCACGACCTTATGGAGAGGCCAGAGGGTGGGGTCAAGGGCTTACCTGGCCGCTTTGCCGAGTCCAGTAGGGGTGGCTGGTACCAGGCTGTCAGGTGACACGGGATCCTCCTGCTGCTTCCACAACCCGCACCCCGACAAGTAACCATCAGTTCTGCACCAAGAGGCCCTCCACACACAGCTCTGACTTTATTGTGGATCAGAATCACGTGGGGAGCTTGTGAAACGTGCAATTTTCTCGCGTGCAGTTGGGGAACTGGGAAGCTGAGCAAACAACTCAAGTGATTCTAATGGTCTGCATCAGTGGTCTCAACCTCGGCTGCACATTAGAATCACCTGGGAATCTTTTTAAAATCCTGATTTCTGGGCCTCATCCTCCGGAAACTCTGTTTCTTTGTTACTAATGTTGTGGCGTCACCCCATAACAAAGAAACAGAATTTCTGGAGGGTGAGGCCCAGAAATCAGGATTTTAAAAAGATTCCCAGGTGATTCTAATGTGCAGCCAAGGTTGAGAACCACTGGTCTACATGATCGTTAGAGCATAAATTTGAGACGCAGAACCCAAAAGGTCAAACTTTAGGAAAATAATTATCATTGATTTCCTCTCAAGTCAACCCACCGGGGGGGTGGAAGGGGGGCCTCATTGGTAGTTTAGAAAAATAAACAAAATATAAAACTAACAAATTTGAAAAACAATGCTGGCAAAACATTGTCCAAAATTAGCGTGGGAATCCTAGCTCTTTACCCTTGGAATGCTCCTTTAGGCCCCTGTGTCTGTCCCCACATTCGCTCAGGTGTAGTTTGGAATGATACAGGGATCTAGGGAGTGAGCCAACCTGTGTTCCTTGCAGAAAGGCAGGCTGAATTGCGACCCCACCTTTGAACTTGAAGAAATGATTTTGGAGTCCAAACCTCTTCATAAGAAAAAGAAGCGTCTGGCAAAGAAGGAGAAGGAGATGAGGAAATGTGATTCCTCTCAGGTGAGCAGGTCCCTGCCCAACCCGTGGGAACCTTCAGGATGGCTGCAGTTCCTCTGAGAGCTTCTGCTGGGAGGTCAGCTCAGCGCCTGGCTTTTGCTGCCTGGTGAATACACGGAGCAGCTGAACAGCTAGGCAGCCCTGGGCATCCTAGCAGCAACATTTACCTGTGGATGTTCTAGCTCAGTCATGAACTTGATTCAGTTAGTACCTTCTCCCAGCTCTCAATTCAACATTGTCGATTTTCTGGGAGAGACTCTAGTGGGCCAAGCCCAGGCCAGGTGACTAGGTTTGAAAGCACAGGCATGCCTCATTTTATTTGCCCTTGCTTTGATGTTGTGTTTTTTACAAATTGAATGCAAGACTCTCCACCAGCAAAAAAATTACGACTTGCTTTGTTGCAATACTCACTTCATTGTGGTGATCTGAAACTGAACCCACAATATCTCTGAGGTACTAGTATGTCTGTATACACGTGGCTGTTTGGGGTCTCACTCCTGTTGGGAGCGGCCGACCCTAGAGGTGGTATCTGTTCTTTGCTATAAGCAAAATTTCATGCTACCAGAGCGAGCAGAATAGAGAGCAGAAATGACGGAATTCTTATATGGTCAAGTACTACTTTTGGATTTTAGGCTGAGTTGATTTTTTAAACATATTATTCTGTCAGAGTTAGAGCTCAGATCTCAATACAACAACTTATAGGGCAGTGATGGCGAACCTATGACACGCATGTCAGAGGTGACACGTGAACTCATTTTTTTGGTTGATTTTTCTTTGCTAAATGTCATTTAAATATATAAAATAAATATCAAAAATATAAATCTTTGTTTTACTATGCTTGCAAATATCAAAAAATTTCTATATGTGACACGGCACCAGAGTTAAGTTAGGGTTTTTCAAAATGCTGACATGCCGAGCTCAAAAGGTTCTCCATCACTGTTATAGGGACTCAGTAGGATTTTATACACGTGGTTCTATGCTTTATAACAGTGGTGAAGAAATAAACATTCAATTTGCCTCTAATGATTAGCCATTCATCTAGTCATTCACCCATCCTTCCATCCACCCACTTACCCACTCAACTAATGGTCATCTATCCCTCCATCCATTTATTTAGGCAACTTTTATTGAGAACCTATTACCTGCCAGGTCCTATGTTAAATACCAGAGGTAGTTATGAGTATCATTCCTGCATTCAATGACATTTCTATTCTCAAAGATTATATAGTCTTGTTAGCTCTGCAAACAAATTAGAATACTCAATGTCTTTCATTTCTCTAGTCCTCAGGAACCACTAGACCCTTAAAGGCCAACTGAAGTCCACATCCTGTTTGTTCACAGGCTGGCCTCTTGCCAGATCCCCAGCCTTAAGTGTTTTCTAGGGCCCTGCAAAGAACGCTTAGCTGTGCCACCACCCATCTTGCTTATTGCTCTGCATTTTGACCATTTTCCTCCTAATGATCTGTTCTTCACTTCATCGCTAACTGGCTTCTCCAGAATTACCCCTCTCTATGTCCCTATATAGTTTGACTCAAGCTGGATAGAGGCCTCAAATGTAGCAAATACAAGATATCATCTTTATGATACACTAGAGGCCTGGTGCACAAAATTCGTGCACTGGGAGTTGGAGGGGTGTCCCTCAGCCCAGCCTGCACCCTCTCCAATCTGGGACCCCTCGGGGGATGTCCAACTGCCAGCAGTCAGACATTCCTCTCACAATCCAGGACTGCTGGCTCCCAACCGCTCACCTGCCTGCCTGCTTGATTGCCCCTAACTGCTTCTGCCTGCCAGCCTGATCACCCCCTAACTGCTCCCCTGCTGGCCTGATTGACACCTAACTGCTCCCCTGCCAGCCTGGTTGCCCCCAACTATCCTCCCCTGCAGGCCTGGTCCCCCCCCCCAACTGCCCTTCCCTGCCAGCCCCCTGCAGGCCTGGTCACTACCAACTGCCCTCCCCTGCTGGCCATCTTGTGCTCACATGGGAGTGGCCATCTTGTGTGAGGGTGTGGCAGTCAATTTGCATATTACCTCTTTATTATATAGGATATATGTTTATATAAATGTGTTTTGTTTACATATACACATATTTTTATATATGTACTTAATGTGTAAGTACATACATATATATGTATATAAATATATAAACATATACATATATAAAATAAACAAAATTTTATGTAAATATATTTTAAAATAGTATGTAATATTTTGTTTATATATTTATGCAATATTTTAGTGTTAAAATTGTACTTGAATATATAGCATTTTCTAATTCCTAGATTTTTAAAAATATGAATGAATGGCATTTCTTTCTTGGAGAATAATATTTTTCATCAGAAGTAATTTGGAAGTACTTTGTTGCAGACTTTTAAAATATTGGATCTGGGGCTGACACTGTCCTGGGCCCAATGAGTATCATTTTTTTGAGGTTCAGTTTTCTCATGATGATGGCCAAGTCATTGTTTGGTGTTGAAAACTAGACAGTGAAACAGCAAAGCAAATGGTTTGCACGTCTGTGAGAAGCCACAAAGATCGACAGCTCTGTTTGCTGCCCCTGAGGTCTAGTTCATGAACCTCAGCACAGTCACTGAGGGGAACATTTGATAGGAATTCAGTGTGAAGTGATGTTTCGAGGCTGTTCATTAAATTCAAGTAGAACCTCCAAACCTTTCACATGAAGGCCAGGAGACTAGAGGTGAGCAGGTAACTAGCTCAATAAGCCCTTGTCCCCACCCTCCTTCCAGCCATGGTTTCTTCTAGGGCTGCTTGGCTGAAAGACATCAAGGTCATGAACCATAACCCAAGTCTTCCCTGCTGGCTCATTGTGGGGAGCAGTGTGTTGATGTATTTTATCCTCTCGTTGTTTCTTCCCTATTCGCTGCCCTATTTTTCTGGTTGGGGTCTCACTCCTGCTACAAACTTTGAGATAGCATCTGTTTTAAGGATGCATTCTTTGATTGGGCCATTCAGTGAACAGACACTCAATAGGTGTTGGCTGCTTGAGGACCCTCATTGATCTACTAACTATATCTCTACTCTTTTTTCAATGTTCACCTGGAAGATGTGCCTTCTGCAAGAGCACCTTGAATCTGTGCAAAAGGAATTCATCATTTTCAACAGGGAAAAGTAAGTCAGTAGCTCCTGTAAGAACAGTAGCCCAGCAAATGATAGTGCTTCAAGCCAGACTTTACTTGCAAAACCTTAATATATTTTTAACATTTTTTTATTCTTTCTAATTACAAAAAATGATAATAGAACATTTGGGAATTTATGGAACTTTTTTATTTTTTTGTAAGAACTTTCAAATATTGTAGTAGGTAAATGAGCTTCAAGTTTCTGTTGATGGGAAGAGCAGAGAAATCGGGACTTAAATATTTCAAATCTATGATGTTTTTAAGGTTTCCCTTTATAAATTGTTGGGCTTAATGGTATTATTTCAAAGGCTTAACTCTCTTTATTTTCAGTGAATAAACCCTCTTTCTTTTTTCCCCCTTTTAAGAGTAAAAAGGGACTTTAATAAAAGGCAAGCAAATCTAGCCTTCGAACAGACCAAAGACCCACAAGAAGAGAACAGCCAGAATAACAACCTGTGAGTCGTCAACATCTTCTTCTTGGGACATTTCCTGCCACTCGGGCCAGCAAGTTCTGACTTCCACAGCAGGATGAGCCGACGTAGTTCCCTCCGCACACCTCACACACCTTAGAAAACGTGAATGCCTACTTTTGAGGGAGGCAGCACGAGACAATGAAGAGCTCCCTGGGCTCCTGGGAACTGGTTACACCACTAACAAACCATGTGACCATGAGCAAGTCACTTAACCACTTCCTCTGCTTCAGTTTATTCTTCTAAAATGAGAGGGCTCTACTAGATGAGCTCTCCCCTGCCTTTTTATTGAAACCACTGTTGTCCTACACAGCTTTTATTCTTATTTCTAAAGGACTATTTGGATGTAGATTTATTTTTCCACTCCTAGTTACACTGTGACAGATGGGCAAATGAACATAGGTGGGTGATTGAGTGAGGTGTTTGGGGGCTGACTGAGTGAGGCTCTTCAGAGCTAGGAAACTTCATAAAGAGGTCGCAATCCCCCAGCCTGATTGAATAGGAATAAGGAATCCAATCAGGAAGAAATGAGTGGGACTGAATTAAAGTGAAACAGACTTACCTGGGCCTCCCAGTGCTATGCCAAAGTCACACACCACATCAGCTTATCCCAGCTAGCAAGAGCCTGCTGTGCACATCTGTCCCAACACCCTGTACAGTGACATGAAGTTGGGGAGTTGAAATTGGTGATGATGAGGCATTTACACCATGGAAATTGGCCAATGTTGTCCTAACCGGTTTGGCTCAGTGGAGAGAGTGTTGGCCTGCAGACTCAAGGGTCCCAGGTTCGATTCCGGCCAAGGGCATGTACCTTGGTTGCGGGCACATACCCAGTAGGGGGTGTGCAGGAGGCAGCTGATCGATGTTTCTCTGTCGTCAATGTTTCTGACTCTCTATCCCTCTCCCTTCTTCTCTGTAGAAGGATCAATAAAATATATATATTTTTTAAAGAAATTGGCCAATGCTACAAATCAAGGCATTTTCCCCACCCACCCACCCAGCAAGCCACTGTTAGATATTTTATTAGCACACCACTTGTCTTCTTCCAGTAATCACAATCCTTGAGAGCTCTTGGTCCTCTTAAGATTATCAGATGGATAATCTTAAGAGGACCATCTCCTACATCTGGAGGGGATCAGGAAAGACTTGTCACATTGATAGCATGTCCACCTTGCAGTACAGTGGCGTGTCTTACTTGGGAGTTACAGCTCAGTTAGAATGTGCAGTGAATTTGAACAGTAAAATTTACCCTTGAAAATTCCCTGAAATTACCCATAATGTGGGTATCTTGTCTTTGTGAAGCTAAGGACAGTGAGCTGCGGGTCAACAATGAAACAAGTCCCCGTTTTTGGTTCGTTTTGATTTTGCTGTTTACCTTTATTTTTGGCTGATATCAGATGAATCAAAACATTGAGCAAATTACACATGCATTTATAGAGTAGAATTACACTAAGCACCGTGGATGTGTACATGTCTGTGAGGTTAGGGGTCATGGAACTAAGGGAATGCCTTGTGCTCACTGAAGAATGGCAAGTAGGATCACCTAATTACTTAAAGTCTGATTGATGTCTCACTGTTTTCCTTTATATTTTCTTTATGTATTTGTAAATCGCCAAGTTAATTCACCTACATGAGATGTGCATGTAATGTATCTCCACTCTCCTGAAGATCTCTGCAGAGGAACTATTTTGGGCCACCTACAGAGGCCACTGCCTAGGGAGTCCAGAAGTGAATAGTCTTGACAGGGGACTGTTTTAACCTCTCTGCCACCCTTGTCCTTCTTTATGGAGAGTGTGGGCCTCACCAAGGTGGTGTTAAGCTGGCAATAGGGGAGACCAGACGGGTCCATTTGAGAAACCAGACATGTGGACATCGGCAGAAGTCACAGCTGCGGCCACCTGCTACACCAGACTTTTCCAGGAGGGGTTTGCACTAGGGCTTCTCGGCATGGGTAGAAGCCAGTGCTGAATTTTAACTCAGCGTGTATAGTAGTCTTCTCACTACGCTGATAGGCCCAGCATTTCTGGCGGAGCTGTGGAACAGTGCCTACCTTCTTTAACAGCGACCATCCTTTTGTTAAGAATTAAAACCAGCTCCTTTGTTCTGTGTGTTGGATTCCTTTTCTCTACATTCTCCACACCGTGCCTATGCTATTTTGTTTTCCTCCAAACACTATAAATTCTAAGTGCTTGCCCTGACTCAATTTCACAAGGAGAGGGATGGGTTGACAAGATGAACAGATTCTGCTCCAGGAGGTCAGGGGCCACCCGCACGTTTACCAACTTCCATCTTTTCATTTGTCCTGATTCAAGCCCTGATGGGCTTGGACTTACCTCCCAGTCACTGCTTCCTCCTCTTGCTATGACCCTGTATGCATCAACCCAAAGGGGAGGCTTTGGGAAACACATAGCAAAGGGCAATGGGGTTGGTAGGATCTCCACTGGGATGAGAGCTCATCATTTGTACCATTTCACGTCTGCACAATGGAAAATGGGATAGGAACCCAATGCAATCGCCAAGCCTGTGCCTAAAGCACCTTGATGGGCGTTCAGGAACCAAGGATCCGCTGTGCAGAGAACACCACCTCAGAGAGGTGGCATGGATTTCCAGTTTTAATCAGGTTATAGCCCCGCAATGTGTTTCCAGCTAGAAAAGAAAGACCTTTGCATCCATCAGTGTAGATAACGACTAATTATAAATACCTTCCATTGTTTTATATTAGGACAAACCGGTTTTCTAAAAATTAAAGGATGCCTAAGTCCTTACCAGATTGCTACTTATTAAAATCAGATCTTTTGCTTTTTGCCATTATAAAAAAGTTACTGAAAGTTAACTATCCTACATTGTGGAACATGTCTCATTTGGATTTGTAGCAACCAGGGCTCAGGGCTAAGAATTTTAGAAAACAGTCACTATTGCATTTTTCTGTCTCATATTCCTGGAATCCTTTCCTCCTAACAGCTTCCTCCCTTATCTGTGTGGAGCATCGAGTCTGAGCAGGATTTGAAGACCAGAACCTCCTGCTTATAACACTCTAGCACTGCAGCTGGCCACCATCCCGGTGCATGCACAGTGACCTCTAGTGGATGGGCGGGGCATTGAGCTCTGTGTCCCAGGCCACAGCCCTAACTGGCAGTGAATACTCTGCTAATGGCTAACACACCTCCATGGCAGCACTAGCTTGGGCTGAGAGCAACGCTAGGGAAGGAATAAATGTCGAGCAGCACAGAGCATGGTTAAATTCATTTGGATAATTAATTAGTGGTTAGGCTTCTTCTGATAGGAAAATTTTAACCGGAAGTGACTAGACGTTAGACCAGCGGTTCTCAACCTGTGGGTCGCGACCCCTTTGGGGGTCGAACGACCCTTTCACAGGGGTCGCCTAAATACATCCTGCATATCAGATATTTACATTACGATTCATAACAGTAGCAAAATTACAGTTACGAAGTAGCAACGAAAATAATTTTATGGTTGGGGGTCACCACAACATGAGGGACTGTATTAAAGGGTCGCGGCCTTAGGAAGGTTGAGAACCACTGCATTAGACCATCGTAGGTTGTCTAGATTGAATGGACTGATAAATAACTACCGAGAAAGAACGGTACTACAGCTGGCGGGGCCAGTGTTGCTGCTTCGGGCTGACGCAGTAACGCTAAAGCTTCAATTCTTCCGAAGCTGAATGAAAAGGCATGAGAAGCACAGCGGGTTTGTTTCAGCACCCAGTTATCCTTGCATAGTGTCTACACAGAATCCTGTTTCCCACTCCTCCTGCCTGTGATCACGGCTTCTGACAAGCTCCGCGTGTCTGTGTCTGATGGTAAATACGGCTGTGGAACCTCCACACGTCAGTTGTCTGCTGTTGTGAACAGGCGGTCCTTGGATGGGAAGCACACGGTTCTGTTCAGCTGTAGCCTCCATAACGTAACTGTGCCTGGTGATTGACATGTCTTCTGTGTACAGCCAGCCACTGGCCCTTCTTTGTCAGGTGTGTGTGTGTGTGTGTGTGTGTGTGTGTGTCTGTGTGCCTGTGTGTGTCTGTGTATGTCTCTGTGTGTCTGTCTGTGTCTGTCTCTGTGTCTGTGTGTGTCTGTGTGTGTATGTGTGTGTGTGTGTCTGTGTGTGTGTCTGTGTATGTCTGTGTGTGTGTCTGTGTCTCTGTGTGTGTGTCTGTGTGTCTCTGTGTGTCTCTGTGTCTGTGTCTGTCTGTCTGTGTCTGTGTGTGTCTGTGTGTGTGTGTGTGTGTGTGTCTGTGTGTGTGTGTCTGTGTGTCTGTGTATGTCTGTGTGTGTGTCTGTGTGTCTGTGTATCTCTGTGTCTGTGTGTGTCTGTGTATGTCTGTGTGTGTGTGTGTGTCTGTGTGTGTGTCTGTGTATGTCTGTCTGTGTGTCTGTGTGTGTGTCTATGTGTGTCTCTGTGTGTGTCTGTGTGTGTGTCTCTGTGTCTGTGTGTGTCTGTGTATGTCTGTCTGTGTGTGTGTCTGTGTGCGTGTCTGTCTGTGTGTGTGTCTGTGTGTGTGTCTCTGTGTCTGTGTGTGTCTGTGTATGTCTGTCTGTGTGTGTCTCTGTGTGTGTGTCTCTGTGTCTGTGTGTGTCTCTGTGTATGTCTGTCTGTGTGTGTGTCTGTGTGTGTCTCTGTCTGTGTGTGTCTGTGTCTGTGTCTGTCTGTGTGTGTGTCTGTGTGCGTGTCTGTCTGTGTGTGTCTGTGTGTGTCTCTGTGTCTGTGTGTGTGTCTGTGTATGCCTGTCTGTGTGTGTCTGTGTGTGTCTGTGTGTGTGTCTGTGTGCGTGTCTGTCTCTGTGTGTCTGTGTGTCTCTGTGTCTGTGTGTGTGTCTGTGTATGCCTGTCTGTGTGTGTCTGTGTGTGCGTGTCTGTGTGTGTGTCTGTGTGTGTCTCTGTGTGTGTGCGTGTCTGTGTGTGTGTGGTGATGGTTTTCTCTAGAGGAAGGGTTGTGGTGTCCAACATCACCTGTTCTTACTTCCATTTCCTGCTACGAGGAAAGTCCTTTCCCAGGCAAACTGGTGACAGAGATGAGATTCTATAAACTACCGGATGTAACACAATTTAATCCCCATATATGAAACCTAAAGACTTGGCCGCTCCTGCATTCACACCTTAGGGAACACAAGCCAGAATTCCAGATGTTGCCTTTCACCAGGACCATAACCCATGAATAATAGCCTGAGCACCCTTCGCCAGCACGCTATCTGCCTTCCCCTCAATATCTTTTTCCTACTCCATTCCGTCCACCAAAGCAACGGGTGGGTGTCTCAAGACCCGGACTCTGGGACGGGAAGGGAGTAGCCACTCTGAACTCCTGCAGCTAGAAGCAACGTCTGCCTTAGGAGACAATAGAGGGACCTTCACTACCTCTCAGAGCCACATCTTAGCAGCCAGGCCAGCTGGTTCCCTGGGGTTGTCCTGAAGTAGAGAGGCTCCTGTAAGCCATGTGGGCTCTGAAATCCTGCGCGCTGAGTGCCCTGCTGCCCAGGCCACATTCAATCCTCTGTCCTGTTCTCAGCTGCCATTGGAGCGCAGAGCAGGATCTGGGCCTCTTCCGTTCTGAAGGGTGCCAGCCTTCAGGGACGTCGTTTTTGCAGGTTGCTTTGGCCTTTCATCCCCCACTTCCTGTCCATGGTTAGTATTCCCTTTGTGATGGCTTGAGGGTCCCAGAGCTGATTCCCGACAGTTCTTTGAAACCAGAGGGGTCCTGTAAGTCCTATTCAGTGTTCTCATTCCCCACCTGGTCAATGTGACTCCGCCTAGGATTCCTCCAGCCCGCAGGCGTGTGTAAGTTAGTCAATGTGCGAATTGCAAGGACATTTTTTAAAAAATTGCTCCATCCCTTTTGGAGCCCTGTAATTTGAGTCCACTGTGAGCACTGACCGTGCCCTTTAACCCATGCTAGTCCTAAACAGAGCTCAGCTGCCGCCTGGTCAGGAGAGGGAGCGGTGTGTCCCCAATCCTGAGTTTGAGCCAGAAAATGGGACTATGGCCTAAAGCTTATTATTATTTATTTTAATCCTCATTCAAAGGTTTGTTTTTCTGATTTTAGAGAGAGGAAGGGGAGAGAAGAGAGAGAGAGAGAGAGAGAGAGAGAGAGAGAGAGAGAGAGAGAGAGAGAGGAGGGGAGATAGGAGGAGAGATAGAGATGAGAGAAACGTTGATCAGTTGCATCCTGTACATGCCCCCACTGGGGATCAAACCCACAGCCTAGGTATGTGCCCTGACCAGAATTGAACTGGTTACCTTTCCGTGCATGGTATGATGCTCCAACTGGCAAGGGCTGGGTCAAAGCTTATTAATCATCAGACCTTGAACCTCAAGCTGAAATAACTCTCTGTGTTCAGAGTAGCTTTTAGTATGGTTTCTGAGCTTCTATGCTCCTGTACTGACAGCATTGGTCTATCAAACCAAGAGGGGCTCCTCATACAGAAAAGCAATTCACCAGAAATTAGCACCCAGATCTCCTTCTCTCCCCCCCTCCCTCCACCCGGTCCCATCCTAGTCACAGACACTTTGCTGAGGAGAGCATCCATGCCCTTCAGGCTTTAGACTAGTGATGGGACCATCTGCTGCTTTTGCCTGCCCAGCAGCCATCCCCTTGTCTTCTGATATCACATTAATATTCCTTGAGTTCGTGAGAGTCCACGTGGTTCAGGTGGCTCAGGACCGGCCATGTGACCAAGTGTGACCCATCATTGCCAGTCTCCCGGCCACAGTGACTAGTTTCCTGGTGAAAACACATGACTTGAGCCAGACCAATTAGAGTCAGTCTCTTTGGCCAGACCAACTATCCCGGGAATCTCTATCCTTCCCCTGAAATTACTAGGCAGGTAACAAGAAAACCTAGAAATGCTGATGGCCAAGTTCGCTCCCACTTGCTTTCCTAAGAAGGCAAGAAGGACGAAGAGACAAAAACAAAACAAACAAAATACTTGTGCTCGTTTGGGCACCACATATACTCAAATTAGAACCACACAGAGTTTAGCATGGCCCCCGTGCCAGGATGACATGCAAATTGGTGAAGCAACCCATATGTTCTTAAAAGAAAAGAAACAACATGCTAGATCCAGCTTTGCTTAAGTCTACCCAAATCTACCCATGTTTTCATTTATACACTTTTCAAAAAAAAAAAATTCTTTGCATACACGAATCTAACATTTACAATGAAAAAATGTCCTATGTAAATTGTAATTAGGTCCAGAAGTGTTTCCCCAAAAGGGTTTGGTGGAATTTTAGAAGAGGATAAATAGATTTAAAAAAAAGTTTGAGAGCCTCGAATTGGACAGATTTTGAAAGACAAGATTTCTAAGAGCTTTGAATTTGATGACATACACATAAGTCTCTCAAAGGAGTGAACATAGTTAATAATCCTAACACTCATGAGATTCCTTGGGACCAGCTTGCTAAAGAATATACTTTGCAACATGCTTAGTTTGCATTTTCTCAAATTGCAGGCCTTTATGAAGAAGCAATGCTTTAAGGGAATGACACAACAAAGAACAAACAAAGAGCTGAAACCGGTTTGGCTCAGTGGATAGAGCGTTGGCCTGCGGATTGAAAGGTCCCAGGTTCGATTCCGGTCAAGGGCATGTACCTGAATTGCAGGCACATCCCCAGTAGGAGATGTGCAGGAGGCAGCTGATCGATGTTTCTCTCTCATCGATGTTTCTGACTCTCTATCTCTCTCCCTTCCTCTCTGTAAAAAAATCAATAAAATATTTTTTAAAAAAAGAACAAAGAAATAAAAGGCATTTACACTAATACCAAATTTGATTATATATATATATATATATAGTAATTCCCCCAAGTTTTAACAATAGTGATCAAACTCTTTAGCCAAATAAAAGCTCAACCTCAACTGAAAAGATAGGAACTCCCCACATTTTCTCTGGGTAACTCTGTTTTCATCAGATCTGCCCCCCTTACCAACCATTTCAGTTTTACTGATTTTAACAATTTGGGTCAATGTCATGTCACACACAGAAAAGACAGAACGACATTGTGGTTTTATAGTTATTTTAATAACCAGGTTTACATGAACAGTCACTTGATGAAATTTTTTTCTTCTTCTTAATCTCAGCTAAACTCAAAACACAGTTTTCTTCACGGTTCAAACCAAACAGCTCTTCACATTCCAGAGCCGCCTCACAGCTACCACAGGTCACAGGGAGGTCACTGTCCGTCCACGGTCACCAGACACAGAACTGAACACCCGCACACGACTTTCCAAAGAGGGGACCGACCACGGATGCTGGCTGCCGGGACAGCCCGGTGTATGTCTGGGGCTCCAGCTGGACTTTTCCGGGAGAGAAGGCCTGGGGTGCTTGGGTAACACGTCACCCTGTTGGGAAGGGCTACTCAGGGTGAATAAAAGTCCAGGCTTAGGATGGAGGCCTTCAGAGCAGACGGTGACTCTCTGGGTGTCGGTACAAAGATAAAGGCCAAAGGATGAGGGGACTTGGAAGAAAACCCATTTTCGAGATGGCTACAGCCCTGCCAATTTCAGAAAACTTAGAAGTATCTCTGCTGGGGTGACGGAATTAACAGTTCCTCAAATACCTTTCAAGCACCCAAGATCGTCGCTCTCCCACACAGAACCCTAGCTGATGGCCATCTGGGTTTAGGGACAACGTGGGGGGGTTGGGGGGAGGGGAGCAGGCGGGGTATCCTTAGAGAGGGCCCAGGCCAAGACAGGAGACAGCAAAAGAACGCCTGGGAGGAAGACAGAAGACCCAGCAAGCCCTCCCGCAGTTGGAGGTGCCAGTGACTTCTGAGAGGGCCTGACTCACTGTGGGGATCTCTTCCTAAACCCGTGTGTATGGGGCTCTTTGATGTGTCTTAAGGAACAGGACAGATTGGAATATAGAATTTAACTTAAGTAACAAGGAACCAGAAATCAAAGTCGACAGTGGGAGTGTTCTTGGAATTCCCAGGAATTTCTGTGCTTGGGAAGTCACTAACAGGCACGAAGAAAGGGGGGCTTTTCTCAGATCGTGTTGCCCAGCATTGAGGCATGAACGGGCTGCTCCCCCAGCAGGGGAAGCTCGTGGAGAATGTTAAGTCCTGGTTGAATGTTTCATTCAGAAGTCCCAAGTGCAGCCACCTGGGCCGTGAAATATTGGTTTTCATGGCATAGAGAGGTCAGGAAGGATGAGCTGGACTCGGGGGCTGGTAACAGCAGCCGATGGTACAGAAGTGGATGTTCCCACTGGTTATTAACGTGTCTTTTCCTCCATCTGGTGGTTGTGGCTGGTACTGCAACATATCCTAAATCCCAGCCCAGCCAATGAGGTATATAGAATATGCTTTTGATATAACAAGCTAGCTGCCGGTCTGCAAAACTGCCGCTCCCAGTTTGAAACAGGCTCCCACATCTTTGAGTTATAAACCACGAGCCGCACCCTCCCCTTCACTTACGTTTCCTTAAAATAAAGGCACCATGAAAAAGCTTTAAAGGTAGCAAGGTTCCTTCTTTTAAGAGGAAATCCTCTTTTTCATAATTGGACGAGAAATTAGCTTAGATAGGGGGAATCCTCTTCCTTGGCTATTTCCACATGCCTCCCTAGCCACGTATTCTCTCCCTCTGGCCTTCCCCTTAAAACCTGCAGTTAGGTTTCTCCCAAACGCCTGGAAGGTGTTTGCGGCCTCTCTTCAAAGTACCTAGTACACAGGGTTACGAGTTCTACCAGCTGGATCCCAGCACAGAAGTCAGATCGCAGGTGAAATACATTTTTTTCCTGCACAGGGCCCCCTTAGTTCTACAACCTCATCCAGTTCAGAGAACTTGTTCTGAAGTTGAGTTTGGATGGTAAAGGACGTTCAGCTCCGGCAGACAAGGAAGGTGCCAGCGCTCCCTGTTAGCTTCCTGTATTTGTGGGCCACTTGTCACCGCCTCCCACCTGGGGAGACGTGGTACCAAACGAAAGCTCCCCCCAAGGCTGTGCTGATGGCCGGGGAGACGGACGGCCTGGGACTGAGCACCAGAACCACGGTCACAGGACATGCTTTTGCTGCTCCAGGCTGGCTTTCCCAAAGCCCTGCCTGACTCCCACACAAGCTCAGATGGAAGTTAAGGAACCCCTAAGAAAATCAGCTTTCAGCAACAGCAGAAATCCGATTTGCTCATGGCTGTGCGGGGATCTCGAGAGACCAAGAGAATCAAACACTCACCACTGGCAGGAGCAGCCCTCACACAAGATGGCAGGGCAGGCTGCCCTCCTCAGTTTGAAAAGACCAGCGAGAAGGTGACCTCTGCCCCCTGTTTACAGGGAGGTGCTATGTAAGCGAGGCCGCTCCCAGGTGTTGCCTCTGAACAGCACCAAGACCCGAGAAGTGTCCCTTCTCCCTCCTCTCCTCCTTCCCAGCCAGGAAAAGAGAAGCATTTGAAAGCAGCTCTGAGAAAGAGGCCCTGCCAAGCACTGGCACGACCAAGAGGAAGCCATGGCTGGGTTTTGGTGTTTTAATAAAATGCTCAAAGACATGAAATCTACTAAGAGAGGACGTGATAAAGTCCGGAACCTGAAGACCCCACCTGCCTTCTCTGCTGCCCCCGGACCCCCAGGGGCCATCTTCCAAGGAAATAAATGTACTTCATTAACACAATACACAAGACCCCTTATATTCACCCACCCACCCCCCTCCCCGTGCTCACCCCACCCCAGCCCTCTGAGCTCCCAGCCTTGCTCAGGCTCCCACCACCCACTCACCCCAAATAACTGTGTCCCTTCTGTTCAGTCTCCTGACATCCAGCTTTGTCTGTCCCCTTGTTTTAAGATGCAGCACTACACACGCTCTCAACACTAGATAGCAGACTCCTTACCTTAGTGGCCTGTCTGATTGCATGCATGTAAATGGGGGAGGGGGGTCAACCAAATCAAGGCTAGGCATAAACAAAGCAATATTCGTAAAGCTAGGCAAGCGAGCGTAACATTGGAGAAACATAAGGCTTGAGGCTTATTGATTCTTTAGGTCGTAACTGTTTGGATTCGCTCTCCTCCTTAAATATCGGTGTACCACGTTGGCTTCAAATCAATCTCTTCTTGCTTCTGCCCCTCTGGGGAGGGGGTGTTTAACTCAGGGATGTGATGTTAGAACGGCCTCCAGGGGGCGCCACGATGCGCTTGCTGGCGGAGCGGACCCCTTCATCCACTTGGGTGCCTGCATTCCCAGGGAGAAAAATCGGAAGGGGGTGGGGTGTGGACAAGAGAGAAACTGGATTAATTTTAAGAGTTTAAGCTATTATGTGCCTTCTGGCTTCCTCGCCCAAGAAACTTCCATTCTCGTTTGGGAGGTCTTCCAGATTTTTCACACCCACCCTCCTGAAACTCACCCTCTGTCAGGGAAAGCCAGGTTTATATCTCGACTTCATCCAACCCTCCACATCATAACAATGATAATAAAAGCAACGACGGGAGTGTTATGAGAAATAGCTGCTCCATTCACGTTTCAAGCAACGGTTTAAATGTTTCTCCGTTTGTCTTACTCAACTCTCCCCACTATCTTTCCAGAAATGGACTGTTATTATCCCATTGAAAGAGGAGGTGACTGAGGCTGTGAGGGGCTAGGGCAGTGGTCGGCAAACTGCGGCTCAGCAAACCGTGGCTCAAGAGCCACATGCGGCTCTTTGGCCCCTTGAGTGTGGCTCTTCCACAAAATACCAACTTCTGCGCATGGGCCACGAAGTTTCAATCGCACTGTACGTGCGCGCCCCACGTGGTATTTTGTGGAAGAGCCACACTGAAGGGGCCAAAGAGCCACATGTGGCTCGAGAGCTGCGGTTTGCCGACCACGCCGGTCACAACTGGCAGTGGTGACGGCCAGGCCCCTGCAGCCACAGCACACCAGGAAACACCAGTGAGTCCCTCTGTCCGTTCAGAAGGAGCCGGAGAAGCTTAGGGCTGAGGGGAGCCAGGGAGCAACAGAAAAGGGCAGAACACGGGCAAAGACTTCAGCAGAGAGCGTGCTGTGGCCTCTGGCCATGTCACCTGAGACCTTTTGCCGGGAGCCGGTCCATGCTTGCTGTTTCAAGGGACCTGGCA